AGCCATTATGGGCCTGGAGAGCTGAAAGCCTGGAGTGCATGCAGAGGTTGCTCTGCTTGTTAGGAGTTGGCTTCTGGAAGACACGAAAGTCACTACAGACTAGAAGCCTTATCTAAAATTTTCCTCTTTTTCATCACTAGACACACAGTTAATTTAAGAAAGGTGTTGGGAAACTGACAGGGACTTTTTAAGCTTTCATCTAATGTCTAAATCATCAATCTCTGCCCTAGATATTTTTGGTCAAAAGATCTGATGGCGTTCACAACTGCAGGACCTGGAGCTAATGCATATAGAGATTTTCTTTTAGGTATGTTTCACTCTAAGGAAATAAAATTGCTTCCGTCTTCTATACTTGATACAGAGTTTAAGATCCTCAAGAGAGATTAAAGGCAAGAAGAATTACTGTGTATTCCAGAGGAGGAATTCCTAGGAATGACACCTGAGAGAAGAGAGTCTTCAGATAAACTTCTGCTAATCAACCTCCAGAACAAGTAAAAAAAAATAAAGAAAAAAAGCAAAGAAAAAAAGAGTGAGGAAGGGAGAAAGAAAACACAAAATTTAACTCAAAACTAGATCCAAAGCAGTCAGCTAAGGGGAATTGAGATGGTAGACCATGCCTACCAGTGAGATACTTGGTCAATACTTCTGCAGGTAAGAACACAGAATTAATACAATACAGAAAATTATTAGAATGTAAAGAAAGGCATATACAAATAAACGGAAGCTCAAGACATCCATGTTCAGTTTCTAGACATGTCACAAACTGTGTAATTCAAGATTCATTTCAGCTGCAAAAGCATAAGGACACTACAGGTGCCTGATGAGCTCGGTGATATCACATCTGAGCTTGAGCTGCTAATCATGAAGGGCCTGGCTGTCTCTGGTCCTCAGGAATATTGTCAGCCTTGTCTAGATCTCCTGGATTCCCTGTGGTATTTGAATCGGTACTAGACACCTACATTTAAGCAATTTACTTGATCTGTTAAACATTATGTCAGTAGGTATCCTGAGAATTAGTGCCTTTTGTACCAAATGTATGAGTTTTAAATCCCACCCTGCTGTCACTCTATGTCTCAGTTTTCCAACAGTGAAAAAGAGAGAACTAAAAAAAACCAAAACAAAACCAAAAGCAAACCACTTATGCAATACTTAGACCATTAGGCAATGCAAGCCACATAAGTTTGGAGGGGTAGAGATGAATGTCTTTTAAAAGTAGCAATGAAAGCCTAGAGAGTAATGCAAATATAAACTGTTGATAGTGAACACGCTATCTTATGCATCAGGCTTTAGAATGTCAAAAATATAATAAAATGCTTCATATTTCTCTGTTAACTTACTTTGAATGTTGGTTTCTGTCACAGTGTGTTTTATGAATCTTTTTAAGGGACATTTTTTTCATCAAACTTCAATAATAAGTGATAAAACTTCAGAATATCTTAGATGATTAGGACAACCTACAAATAGATAGTCATATACAGTCCTTAATCAGAACTAGTCTCCACTGGGCAGTGATTTGTTTGAACTGCTTTTATCTCTGTGAACCCAGAATGGAGTCTTTGATGAAGTTTCACAGTTGCAGAAAACTGCATGAGAGCTTTTAGTGACCTCACACATTTATATATTTACATCTGTTTCTCTGCAAGTCAACTTTTATTTTTCCCCTCAGCATACTAAGTGATGTAGGCCTGCAAGTCTGCCTAAAATTAAAGCTTTTCCCAGGGATATCCATTGTACCTATGCATCAAAAAGATGCATAAGTTTTTTTATTGTTTAAATCTAGTTCGTATACTGTGATTTATAATTGTTTTCTTGCATTTTGGAACTGGTTTACCTGCAAAATAGCCTTCACGTTAAGAAACTGCAGTATCATCTGCATCTTCAAATACAGAGTATCTCCACAAAGTCACTACAAATTTTTACATCTGAAGGACACTGCAGCCTATTACACAACAAATTACCAAAGTTAATGATGATTGTGTATTCATGTACATATTCAAGCACATGTGAACCACATCTTGGGAATGAATTTGTCTGGGGCCTACTAAATATTATGGAAGTGTCATTCCTGCACGACACTAGCAGTGGGTAGGAGCTGCACTTGCTATGTGCGCATACATGCCGTAAGTAGAAATAAAGTATTTAATGAATAAATGCTAATTTTTAAAATAATATGTTTCAATGCATTTTTAAAACATACACATTGATGAAGTACTGAAAAATATTTATACTGTAAAGTTATTAGGAATCCAGCTGTTTCTTCATATAAAGTCCACACACTTCAGGTAAGATAAACAAATCTTCCTAATTCCAACTACAGTCTAGTGAATAACTTTCCTAATGCCCAAGGGAGACTAAACACAAGGAGTTAATTTCCATGATCTAATGAACAATTAACCATGAAATCTTTTTATCAGAAAATTACCTTTTTATTAAAATGCTAATTTAATTAATAGAATTTTGCTGTTGAGAATAGTATGTATGGGATATATTTGTTCTCAGATGTATGTTATTCCATGGACATTAATTATAACATTGTGATATTCCCTCTTCTGTTCTGAACAGCTAGTAAGACCTGTACTACTAAATCATACTTAATAGGAGTGTGATGGTTGTTGCTTAGGCAACAGAATGGATAAATGCAGGTCAGAATGTGCTTCCAGAAAAAACAAAAGCAGGAATATAGTACAGAATGAATAAAAAATACATCTTAACTGGTTTTTACTGCATTGAACTATTGGATTTCTTCAATGCAAAACAGCTAACCTATCTGAAACATTTGAGTTAATAAGATTTTAAGCTCTAGTTTAATATGCAAACCACTGTAATAAAGGTAAAGCTGTTCTGTCATATTAAGGAAGAATACAACATACTAAGTTTGGAATCATCTGAATTTTCCTCAGCATAAGAGATGCTTCTCCTCTCATTTTTCTATATACTTTCTAAGTTTAATTTTTCCTTTAATATTTTGGATAGGATGAAAAATAGCTTTTAAAACACTCATTTAAATTTTTCAAGAGAGGTTTTTCTTACATAATGCTGAGTAATATAAAAATTTATATAATATAAAAAGAAATTGGTGGTTTATTTCCAATAAAATATAAGAAATATTTGATTTCTGGTAGACAAAAGCCAAAAGATGTAAAAGTGTGATAAATAGTGAAATCAATAAATTGGAAATTATAAAACTATTGAAATTATATTTTTTTTTATTACTACACAATTTCACAGCTGTTTTATTGTTATTGGATTTATAAGTCTAATCTTCCATTCAATTCATGCTACCTCAGCTAATATCAAGAGTAATTATGTATTTTATTTGTAATATATCAAAAAAGCTTAAAATTACCAGAAAACACTGGGTAACAGTGTTAATCTTAATCTGCCTCATACACTAGAAGTTTGGTTTGTATACTGCATAGCAAAATCTTGTATGTAATTTGTATGTTTACATAAATACAGTAATAAGAGATGTAGGAAAGTCATATAAATTCCCTGAGGACATGTTTCAGGCCCTTCCAGAGCCAGGGTACAATTGAAAAGCCCTCCAGGGCAGTTATTTGACTTCTCTGGTGCTCATAATTTACCAGTGGTAAGTGTACCCCTCTGCATTTGTTATGCCACCTACAGCCTCCTGTGAACAGTTTCCTTTTGTAACCTCTTTAAGACTAAATGATCACCTACTTATGTAACGAATGCTACAACATATATAAGAATATGTTACATTTTGGGAAACTGCAGCATGAAACACTTTTTTTTTCCCCCATATTGCTGGGCTGACAGCACAGATATGTTTTAAAGAATATTTAAAGGTACATATTACAATGATTTTTACTGACCTAAGCAAATGATCACATGGCAGCCATGTAAAAACAGGAGGAAACATCTAAACTATTATAATGTGAAAATGGCAGAGATGTTCCTTAATTTTTTTGGTCAGTATTCCAAAAGCATATAATGATGTTGGCAAAATAATTTAAAGAGAAAGGACACAAGTCATGTGATGATTCTATTGCTATAATATTCATGTCATTTCACTTCTGCTTCTTATATGGCAGATAAAAGTTATGAAAAGTTAGAATTGTTCCAAGATATATATGGGTACTTAAAATATATTTCAAAGACATTTTAAAATATGTTTTAATCTCTGATACTTTTTAAGTAATGGAGTGAGGACTTTTGGACGAGCCTCAAGAAGAAGGAATACTGAAGCAGGTAGAAAAGTGATTATATAACAGCTGTACAAGTAAGCTTCTGTCTTTACTGTCAATATTCATTTCAATGGAAAGTTTGTGCATGACAGGTCTGTTACTTTACACCACATGGTGATACTGTAAATCCTGACCTAACTAAAATTTCATTTTATTCAAACATTCCTGATAAATGCCGAGAGTTAAAACATGAAAATGGAACAATTAATAGGAATGCATTACTTTTTCTCTCAGGGCATAGGTTTCAACAAGTGAATCCCGTAGCCTGATTATCTGAGATGCAAAAATATTTAACCGAGACATCCAGAATTACTTGCAGAGAGTGCACATTTCATTAAATAATTTTCTGTTATTAAAATACCTCTCAAGGCAAAAATGGCATTGCATGTTCTTTAATTATCATTACAAGTTAATGTTGAAATAAAAGTAAGAATGTGATGTACTGCAGAAAGGGGTGTTTGCAGCTTTTTCATACTAGGAAAATCCTGCAATGGATTAAAAGAACTGTGCATTTTTCTTCTTTAATCGGAGGATCGATGAGGGAGAGAAAGAACATTAATACTCAGTTTTTATTTTACCAAATTTCAGGCTAAACTCTTTTGTAATGTGTACAGTCTGGAAGTTTATAAAAAGGCAGCTTATATATTAATTCAGCTACACATAGAAAAGTGAAACACTAAACAGATCTTAGTGCAATGCAGAATAGCTCTAAGGTTCTTATGAGCACATAAGAGACAGACAAAAAAGGCAGCTACAGTGTATATACACAGCTATGCACGGAAGATTTCTTACCATGAATTGCACATTGTCAAATCCATTAGCCAGCAAGTGGTTTTCATACTGAGGTAGCCCAATATTTTCCAACCATTGTCCCACTGTCTGGACAGGGCATCGGGGTCCTGTAGGAGGGTGAAGAGGGAGGCGTTTAAGCAACGAATAACCATCCACTGGATAATAGCGGTAGTCCTGGGCTGAGAGGTGGCATTGCCACATCGTGTTCCTGGAAAAGTTGGTATCAAACGAGCCCGCCAGCTTGACAGATTAATGTTTTCAGCAAACAGAAAAGTCAGAAGTAAAACATAGTTTTCAGGGCAGTATATAACGTAAGATCTGATCGCAGCTCTACATTTCTTGGTTATTAATCTTTACTACAGACCAGTACGTCATACAGTAGGGGGAAAAAAAAAAAAAAGCATATCAAGCTGTCAGCTAAGCTGTTCTCCGTTATATGTGATTGTTGGAATACTCCACAATGAGCAATGCACTGCCAGCAGCAAGAATTCTTTTTATCAAGTACTCCTACACTCATCAGTATGCAGCTCCATGCTTCTTGCTCCCCCTCGCTCGCTCCCCTTCATTACCCAGCCTAGGCTACACCTCGCATTTTCAATAATAGCCATCAGATAAGGCAGATTTTTTTTTTTGTCTGCAAGCTGTAAGCCTGCTGCTGCTGCTTCCTCCTACACACCCATCCAAGCGTCAATCTTGAATGATGAGAGCAGTCAAAACAAATGCAGAAAATAGCAAGATTCAAAAGCAACCCAGAGCACTTAAATCTGAATAGAATCTTCATACCAGTTACGCTTTACATATCTATTTGTTGTAGATTTTTACATTTCACAAGACATTAAGGGATGCAATACTTAAAGCATAGCCCATGGCATGGTTTACTATGCCTTCCCCTTTCCCCCTCTAATGTAAGATAAGTAGTGGTCTGCATCTCTGCTTATATAATAGCAAAACCCTTTAATGAATCAATAATTAATATATTTCACAGTTTCTCTCGTATAGTACAGAAAAAGACATAAAAGGCACAACAATTTTAGTCAAAGTAATTAGATTATCTGCATGATTTCTCCAACTGTAAAATATTATAAGACACAAGAAAACCTTCATGCCAACATATAATAATTCAAACTGAAAAGGTCACCATTTCAAATGAATAATTAAAATAATAAAATGGTAAGTTTATACCCTTTCTTACAAAAATGTGAATGATAGCAAGTAGACATACAAGATTTGCATGATTTCTAGAGAAGATTTAAATTTTATGAACTATAACTGGAAAAAAAAAAGGTTATGAATTTTGAATGAGCGGAAAATTCATTTTCTGCATAAGAAACTAAATACCTCATGGTGTATTTTCTATCTGCATTACATCTTTATGACAGTTTCTCTTGAGATGGAAATGTTTTATTCCTTTGTTCTGAAAGGAATGTTTACTAAACTTTAGTTTTTCATAACCATATGAAAGAACTTAGCAAAAAAAGGCAGGAAATAGGTATATTCAGGGTACAATTCTAGAAGGAATCCTATCAGTGGTGCTTCATTTATCGAGCACATTAATTACTTTTTTGTGTTTCTTATCCATTGTGAATCTCGAGCAATGACCATCTCTAAGGAGGAATTTAATTCCAGCACGAGGAAATTATAGGTTTTTGTCAAGGGGATAATATGGGACTGATGGTACCATGGCAGATAATTGTTTCATAGCAATCTAAACCTACAGTGTGACCAACACGTTATGATACAATGTCTCTTCCAGTGCCACACAGAAGGTCCCTGATCAGTCACGGAACAGATTCTAAATAAATGGAATTAACAATATTTTAAGAGTTTAATCTCCAATCTGACTAGTCCTTGGACTAAAACTGGATGACCTCTCACTTGGAGACAGCTGCCTGGATTTGTGAAACATCTCATTCAAACTGAAGTCCATAATAATTATGAAGAATAATTTTAGTTGAGCACAGAAGATCTTTCATGAAGTTGGAAGGTTGCCTAAGATCATTTATAGGATCTTCTGTTATTCCATTCCAGGTATTCTTACTGACTTGATAAATTTACTACAGAAAGTTTGAAAGGTTCATGACATTTTTAAAAAGAATACTGAACACTCACCAGGCACTGGTAAACCTGCAGTTGCTGAAGAAACTTTGGGAATTCTAACTGCTAAATGTACTTCAAATAAATGAAAGGATCATTAATTTCTTCTCAGTGAAAGTAGGTATGACAAACTGATAGGAAATCTAGATCTCATGGAGATAGAAATGCATTTGTTCACACGTCTGCAAATTATCCCTATTTTTAAAAGTTTTCTCTACTATGAATCTATATATTTGTATATAGACAGATCATAATCCCTTCAGGACTGTGCCCAGGCATGAAGAAGGGTAGGCTATGCTGAGTTGAAATACAGGGGACTTTCCCATAGTAGGCAAGTTCAAAAGGCTAGGCAAGATCTTCAGAGGACAAATTGAGAACAAAGTTATTTTAAACAAGGTGAGGGTTCTATCCTTTCTGAATTTTTCTTGACTGAGAATTAATAAAGTTCTTTGAAAAGGATTCCTGATTCTGTCTTCCCCTTTTCCCTGTAAGCATAAAAATTGATATCAGAAAGAGATCTAGTGAAGCATAATCCCTTTGAATGGATTATTCATGACTGGCTCCTGTATTTCCTATAAATGCAGAGACACAAATGTCTCTGCATTGTGTTCTGCAATGCCAAAAATTTGCTGCCCACAAAAAGGCGCACACAATAATCAATATACTAGTTTCATGGTCAAACTGCTTCTCCCTTACCTTACTATAAACAGCATGGAAGCTATGCTGCCAGTGATGAGTGCTTGGCTCAATGCCTAGCAACAGTGTAGGCAAAATTCAGTTGCTGAGTGGCTCCCCAGACACATTTCCTCATGTAGCTGTTGGTACTGTGTCTAACTGTCTCCATGGCTCCAGCCCTGGATGATTACAGCACTGCTGGTCCCACCGTGAACTCTCCTCCAACTCTGTCCTTTGCCATGTAACTACATGTCTGAACGCATCAACGCAACATAAGGCTGCTCATCAAGGGGAAAGAAAGTGAGGAGAAACAGTCAGCTTGCTGCCTAGTCCTCACCCCTGGCTATTGTCTCATTGCTGAAGTATCCTGTTACCTAAAAGGCTTTTCTTCCCTCCTGCTCCCGCCAAACGTCAAAAGGCGAAGGCAGGCACAAAATAGAGCCAGGGCTGTTTGGATTAGGGAACTTGCAGCTCTTTAAGACCTCCAGATCAGGTGTTCAGGTGTTTTACCTCAGGGGGGTTCTTGGGCAGTTTTTCTGAGCCAGTGCAATGGGAACCTAGAGCAGATGCTCCTGCTTTGAGACTAAAAGGCTGTCTCTTGATTTTTTAGCCTATGAATCAGTGCCAGCCCCACCAGTGGGCTGCTGCAGGCAGCGCCTACACTTTGCCTGTGCCTGAAGCTGGTGCTGACATTGAAAACACCAAGCAGACGGTGAGATGGTCTCACCTCAACATATTTACACACTAACATGCTTTCCTGTGATTTCAAAGGACATAAATTCCATGATAATCCTTCTGTGAGACCACAATCAAAAAATATGTACCCAGTCCTACAGGGGAGAACTGACACTTAAGTCTCTTACAGAGATAGCAGTACTGAGCTCTTTCTTCTCCAAGGCAACAGAAGAAGCACACTGAAGTGATGTCTGCAAGAAAGATGCCATCTGGTATGCTATACGATAATTTCTACAAGACATCTTGTTCCCAATGGGATTCAGAATATGTTTATTGTGGAGTTTGGAATTGACTGAATCTGTGATATCAGAGGGCACATGATTTCAAACATGCTTTAAGGCAGATTTGCTCCAAATGCTAAGTAATTTAAGGGCCTCTCAATTTTATTTTTTCTGCTGTTAACAATATTAATTTTTCTTGATTTTTCTTTTTTTTTTTGACTAAGGAGAAGAAACTGCAGTGATTACTTGTAGAGGAGATGTTCCCCCAGTCATTATGAACAGATTATTATAAACAATTCTTTTTTGATACAGGAATACCTCTTGAAATTGCTAAACACTTCTGGTATTAAGGAATCAAAAAGTGGAGGATTTTAGTAGCAACAAGTAGTGACCAAAAATTTTCTGAGTAGAGAATATGAAAGAATGAATCATTTAGGTAAGATGGCAGGTAAGTTTAGTAAAGCTGAAGAAGTAATTGATGCTAGAGTAGGTAATGAAAATTTTTTTTTTGTTGTTATTAAAGCTTCCAGCCTTATATAAAGCTAAATGGGATATAATTTTTCTCCTTATATTTATGATTTCAGGCAGACAGAAAAGTTACCTGTCTACATTGTGACAGAACTTGTGTGACAGTGTTGGGTGGCAGCATAGCAGGGTGTTCTAGCTAATAAACTAACCAAATGCATGTATTCTGGAGTGGAGATAAGGATAGCTAGGAACAGGATGTTGTATGAGAAAAAATATGCCAAACATCCAGCAGACCACTATAATTAAAGTTTATTATGGGAGAAGTATACTAGGTTCCAAGAAAGGTGTGCAGGATTCTGGTTTATCCTACTCATTTCAGTTATATTATAAGGCAACTCTGAAGGCTTAGAGATTTTAAATTATCTTTTTTATAAAAAACTCTGAAAAAAAATGGATGCCTTGCATAAAATGCATAACTTCTGTCAGCAGCCTAGCTCATTGGATGATGGTACTGTGGATGATAATATTTGGTGATGCTGAATATTTCTCTGAGAGTGCTTTTTGAGACATTTTTCATGGCATATACAGAAACAAAACAAAATCAACAGGGACAGCTTGAATTTAAGTAACACTATCTAGTATAGTATCTATGATCTAAAGGTTACATTCCATTGCTTATGTGTGGCTCAGAACTCCCAAAAATAGCTCAGATCACAGCTAATCAAGCTAATGGAAAAACCCTCAGTGACTAGGAAAAATCATCCTCACAGTTATTTTCTGATTTTTATACCAATATTGATTATAACTCTACATTACCACTGGGTAAGTGCTGTATCTTTAATAACTATAACCTCAAGGTCAACAAGGAAAATTCATTTTACTTGACAGATGATTTGTCAGCGCTGACCTGTACA